ATAATAATGTTTTCCGGTACAGCTGAAAAAGCGAATTTATGATAATTAAAAGATAAAAGAATTAAGAAGTAACATATTTAAAACTTCCCCCAAAGCAGTTTCATGTTTTAATGTTCATTTTTTTTATCAAAGTCATACGACAATCGTTGTGTTATATTATTTAAGGAGAAATTGAGAGCTTATGTCAAAGCTTGGTAAATGTCTGATTTTTTTGTTCTAAATCAATTAATTTGAACCGCTCATTCAACGATAAATCGGGTTTAATGTAAATGTTCGAAAACGTTACGTGTAGGTGTTTAGGTCCCTAGTCCTCCGACAGGTCGGTGGGCGAGAGGACCCAATCAAAAGATTAGACTCTCTCTTTAAGATTTGAAATGAGTCCTTAATAATCTCTCAGTGTTTTGGAGGCTTCAAAATCGTTACCAAACGTTATAAGCTTGGCTCTTTACACGTTATAATTGTGTTATTGTAAGTCACATACGACAGTCGGTAAATGTAATTTAATACTAAAACTGAAAAACTACAAGTTTATTATCTCAGCTATCTTAAACTTTCATATCAGTGACCGAAAGACTAGGCAATGAATGGCTTTTGATTAGTCATTTAAACGGAGTCAATTTCCGCTACGTTTCCGAGAAACGAACTTGCCACTTCAAAAAGACGCCTTTGTACAAAAAGAGCAGCTGGTAACCGCTTTCACTTTTAATTAGGATCGCGTCCTCCGTTCTCCATTTAAGAGACTGAAGTAAACAAACGATCCTAGCAGCCGACCGCCTTTTAAGGCAAACGTCGTGGCGAGAGGCCTCGTGAACCTGTTCTTCCATAGGCACCGCTTGCGCAGCGTCCTTGAGTGCTGTGTGCGGTGCTCGTTAGGTGCGGTACGAAAACAATTGGAGTTGGCGCATGAAAGAGAGTTTGCTCTAGAAAAACGTTATTGGCTGAAGTTGCTCTTTAAAGGGACTTCGTTGCATTGAAAACGATTATTACGATAATTTTGCAGTACGGCTACATCACACTGAATCTCTGAGATGTAATTCAGAGTTCGATTTTGTCAGTGAGAATTACTTTATGTTACACGATAATTACCGCATAATAGCGGATAAATGTTATTATAAGCCTATATAATACTGTCTGCAATTTTGTGTATTTACTTCATTTTACTCTTTTCTATGAGTTACCAGGTTTACAATGGAATGTTTTCAGATTTTCTTCAAAATTTAACTAGGTGGAACTAAATAATGCAATACAGATGTTCGAGAACGTAGCAACGTTTAGAAAGAGGTGCGAATTCAGATCCCTCGGATTCCGCTGGTGGCGGTTTCGCTAAGTGATTATACTGCGGAAGGCAGAGAGAAACCACATGATGTCACTTGACTCATTATTTATCTTGTGTGGAAAAGCCAAGAATCATTGTCTGTAATTGGTCAGTAAATTCCCGTAAAAATGTGGCTGAAGAAACAGAAATCAAAATAAAATGATAACGGTCGAGGAGTGGAGGAAAAGGGCAGCGTATGAGGAGAGAAAAGGAAGGACGAGTAAGAGGAGAAGAATAATACAAAAAAACACGAGGAAGAAAAGATGGAGGAAGGGAAGAATAAGATGAGAAGGTGGTGGAGGAGGAGAAGGAAAGCGAAAGAAAAATAAGGAGAGGAAGGACGAAAAAGAGATGTCCAAGAACGGTTCACCAGAAGGAAGTCATGTCCTCGTGGTCTTAGAGCAATGAGCTCTAGGATTCCCACAGATAGCGACCGCAGCCCGGTCCGGCCCCGATCCACCGGATTGCGGGCGGGGCGGCGGGTGGGGGTGGGGAGCGTCGCCCGCGGCAAGGATGCGGCGGCCGGCGGGCGCCGCGACGCCAGGAATGCCGTTACGCCACGGGAGCGGCTGCCCCCGCCCCCGCCCCCACCCGCGAAGAGTGGACGCAGCCCAGCCTCCCGCGCGTGAGGTAGTCAGCCGCCCAGTCGCCTGCGGCTGCGCCGAGCAATTTGAGGCAACCGTTCGCCTGGAAGACGCTGGGCCGGATTCGCAGCAGCCGCTTGAAACGAGTGTCCCATTCATTCACAGCGCTTATTCTCAAATGAGTGGACGAAGAACCACTTATTCGCTCTTGGGCGGTCGCTCGCTTCTTTGAGGTTTTGATTCGGATTTCTCTCAACGGGATACGTAGTGTTCTAAGTTGAAAAAAAAATTGACTAGCACGGGCGTCCGTGATCCCGGCAGGTAAAACTGTCACGAGCCAAACTCGTTCCGTCGCCGCCTGATTTTTCTTTCCTTCCTCCTTCGACACGACACTCGTTTTGATTGCTCCTCTCTTCCAGATGTGTGCACATACCGCTCTTCCGAATAAGGACCTTGCAAGAACAACGGCGAGCAACTGACAGGTCGTGACGAGAGGGAGCCACAGTCGGACGGTCCCTGTGCGAAGAACACGAGTCGCGGAAAAACCGGACATGCGAACCTGGACTGCCATGGGCGTCTTAGGCATACGGTTAAACACATACGCACAAACCCGAACCGGTAAAATTTGACAACTCAAGAGATCAGACACTTGCACTCTCAGCGTGATGGGCGACGCTAGATCTGAGCAATATTAGATCAGATCTACTGGTAATCATTTACTCCTATTCAAAGTGCAGGGCAGACTAATACGTGGGTGAATTGACCCTCCTTACAACGTATTACGAGATTTCGTATACACAGAGTCTTGATGGCATTCGATTATTCCGTATAAACAGAGACTTGATGGTACTTTGATGTGATGGGTAGTGAATTTGACACCAAGCGCATGAAAATCCTTAATTATTCAATTAAACGACTCATCTGTCCACAGGGAACTAGAAAAGAGCAAACTGTTTAACTGAACAACTGATGTTGAAACAGTTGAAACAGTGCAATTAAGCAATTTTGTTTAAATTTAAGAAATAATGACTAAACATAAATATATTCTTCAGATCTGCAAAAAGAAGGGAAACATAACCAAGCCAATCAAAATAGTGTTGTCATGTTCCCACGTCCCGAGTCGTGTTCAAAGACTCGGAACACGGGCCTCTTCACTGGGAAAACCGGCCCCGAGACACATGGGATTGTCCGAACCAGTCGTGACGCGATGGGAGAGGCGCAAACGTTGGCACCATCGCACGGTTCCGGAGGTTCTTCACACACGCCACGTAAAAAAAGAAAATCGCGATCCTGAATCACCAACATTATCGCTTGTTTGTTTTTTGTTCTTAGATAAGTGTGTCAATGTCGGTTAGGCTGGCAGTGTTTCACAGCGAGAATCGACGCTGTCGATCAAGTTCAGGTGGGCAGAACAACTGCCTTTTTTCTAGTAGCCACAAAACAAGAAACAAAAATTAATATTCATGACGAGATAATTATGTCAGCATTCCGAATGATGTAAAATCCGAAAGAGGTTGAGGACTTGTGAATTTGTTTGACATTTCGCCGAAGATACCACTGAAATATTCCTCAGAAAATTTTAATATCATGTTTTGTTTTTAGATAGAGGCTTCGCGCACTCGCAAGTAGAAGAAAAAAAATATTTCACGAATATCAGAATGAGCAGTTCTGTATTTTTCCTCGTAATCAATTTTCTCCAGTTCAGGCTAATTTTCCGACTTTAAGCAAGAGATATTACGAAAATTAATATAGCACATTTGAACATTAATACATTATTTTTTAAGACATAACGACTACTTTCCAATGTTGTACGCCTAACAAAAACAGTTTCGAGTAATCTCTGAAAAGAAACGAAACCCCCAGATGAGTACATGGCTATTCTAGGACTCCCCCTCTTCCCCACTCCCTCTCGAAGAGATGACTAATTCCGGAAGTATTGCATCTGCTCGAAGAGACACGGAGAAATCTCGCCCTGTTCTTTCTCAGCTTTCTGAAATTCTGAACACAGAAATGGACAGTCGACAGTCACGAGCATTCGTTTCCTGATACCATGAAAAAGACATGCACAAAGAAATACGATACTTTTTTTTGGATAGAATCTCTCTCACTTTGAGAAAAGAAGAACGAGTAATTAAATGCGCATTGCTAATATGAACTTATTTGTCTGTTGTTTAATAGTGATTTAATGGTGATCTGAGAATATTAAAATCGAAATAATATAAAATCGACTCATTCTTAACCACGATGTAACAGGAAAGCAAAACACTGACCAACTTATTCGCATGGATCAAAGATTTCAAATTAAGAATAATAAATTATACATTTCTGTATCAATCCATTCCAGACGGCTACATTCTCAATGTAGCCGACATAGGTGTTTAATTCCAATAAACTATTTTTAATGCTTTTATTTGAAGACGTTCTCGAAAGAAGAACAGTGGGGTACATAAGACCACATTAATTCTGAACTTGGCTATCACAAAACCGGTCCTCCAGAAAGGAAGAACATAATTGTTCGTCTTCACCACTAGAAAGCAGTCCAACAAGTATACTGGGTCTGTCGTTAATTCCGTGCTACACTACTTCTGAAACCTATACTGACATGTTTTGTGACCAACTTTTACTCAGTTGTGCACAAGACTCCGATTATAACACGGTTAAGGTCTTCGATCGAAAATAAATAAATGTTAGATGCAGAAATCTATTGAAACACTGATTCAGTATTGCAAATCGATACCATAGACAGGATGGGGGATTGGTTATTTAAAAATTTCGATAAAACTAAGTTTAATTGGGTGAAATCCGACTGCATAGGGAATTATATAAAGGGGAATTCAGAAAATTTCATACTTTTTCGAAGGAATTCGAGATATAGTGGTTTCTGAAAAATGATGTGGAATCTCAATACAACGAGCAAAGCTGGAGAGGGGAAAACATTCAAACTTTGAGAAATCAAATAAATTTTGGATATTCAATCCCGATTATTAGATCAATTCAATAAACTAAGAATATCATTGACCAGGCAAATATCTCTGAAAGCCCACCAACGATGGGACTGGCAAAGCGCAGCATATACATAGTCCGAGAAGCGCGATACAGACTTGGGGAGTAATGACCGCGCTGGGCCGCCAGTCCTCCAGAGGCACTCGAGGCAAATCAAGATCTCTCGGAGCCACAGACATTTCGCGTAGGCGGCCCTCGAAGCTGTCAAGTTCAGGGCTGCGGGCGGGCGCGCTGGCCGGCGGCGGCGCGGTGGTGGCGGGCGCGTGGGCTAGGGGCGGTGGGCGGTGGGCGATGGGCTGGCCGGGCGCCAGCGATCGACAGCGCTCAGACGTGCACGGGCCACGGAACACGCAACACAAGACGATGAACTCCCCAGCAGGACACTAGGAGACGTTTTAGGGCACGACACTAAATAAAATTATGCTTGAATCATCGACAGTTTTAATTAAGATACAGAATTTAAATTGTTTCAGAAAATGTTAGGCACATTCATGATGCTGCTAGCCTTTATTCCATTTATAAATGAAGTAAGGTTCACATATTTCAGCATGTTTTAGATTTCACAGAGTGTTCTTGACAATTTTACATTGATATCAAGAAAGACTTGATCAACCTCACGTATAGGTAATTTCTACAGCGAGTGGTATATTAATGGATGATATTACGTGTTTTCTCGTTTATTTTACAGTTAACGATATCCACTGGTCGCGAACAGTGAGTCAGTTCCATCGAGAAATATTTCACTACTTGTTCACTTGTATACTAGAGAACACTGCTGTAAATACGCTCTATGGAATGTCAGGGGAGAAAGGACCTTTAAGTGTTCATAGCTTGTAAAGAACGATTTATTTCAAACCTACAATCAGGGATATACGCGGTGAAACCTACTATAAAGCACTCTTGAAATTCTACACGTTTTCGCATCGAAACAGCGATATTATCAATTCACCGATATCGATACCGATATTCTCGAAAAGTTACAAATCGATAATAACGAAAGTATCGAGAAAAAATATAAAAAATCTATCAATACCGAAATCGAAAATAATTCAAACAGCAAAAACGACAGTATCAATGCAAATAATATAGAAAATTAACGAAACAGAAAATACATAAAGTAACGATATGCGTATCGAGTAATCGAAATGGCGGTTGGCCGAGATGGCTGGCGGCGGGGCCCACTGCGCCCGGGGCGGCTGACCGCTGCGGCTTCCGGTCAGCGCACGGCTAAATCGGGCGCCCCCACCTGCACCCCACGCTCCATTCACCAACGCCATAGGCCAGGCTGCCCTCGAGCAGCTGCACATGGAGGGATTGCTTAAACGTTAGTTTTTTTTTTTTTCTCTCTCTAAAAGCGCGACAATGTGGTAGGAATAAATCAATTAAAGAAGCTGAAAATTAGAATAAGCGTGGTCTTCACCGACCCACTGCAAAATAATAATAATAATAATAATAATTATTATTATTATTATTATTATTATTATTATTATTATTATTATTATCATTATTATTATTATTTTTATTATTATTATTATTATTATTATTATTATTATTATTATTATTCCTATTATTATCCTTTGACACATACAGTGAATGAAGGAAATCTACCAGACAGAAAAATATTCTAGACACCAAAGCTAGTTTCATTGCATTTACATACACATATCCTTCATTATGTTATTAAATTATTAAAATAAATTAAGTAACGTTCCATAATGCCACATGGCGTAATGAATGTATTTTGGAAATGAGAGTGTTACACACTTGACAGCAATGACGAGAGCAGAAGCTTTAAAGCGAGTTCAAAAATAATGATTATCTTTTTTTTCTTCTTTCTTTTCTTTTTCTTCCCCTCCGAAGAAATGGAACAAATGCATATTTTACTACACAAATGTAATTATCAACTTCTCTTTCCTTATTACTTAATTTTTGTTTATATTTTTTCATTAACACATTATTTTGTGCTATCTGGGCTGCTTACTCTGAATCAAAATACGAGGAAATTTACGATCTCAGCAGCAAAAGACAGATACGCAAGCAACTAATTAGACACAAGAGTTTTCAGAAATTAACGCCTGTCGGCTTCCTTTGAAACGTTAACAAGCACGAGCAACAACAGGCGATAACAAGCACACTGTTATGGATTTTCTAACGGCTTCTTTCGACACCCACAGTCTTTGCACTCTTAACGAAGTAAAACAAATAATCATCGAAAGGAAAACAATCTTAGCTAGTTAAAACAATGAATCCCCTGTATTTTCCTCTAGTATTGTATAACGACCAAACGTGGCACATTTCCTTACTTCATAACAAAAAAAGGGCGTTGCAACACACTTTCACAGAAAATAAAGTAAATAAAACGAGTCAGGTAGCGAAAATGAATAAGCGGAAAGTGTCGTTGGAATCGGTTGTTCTCGTTCAAAGTAGAGAGAAGGGTGCTGGAGATGGAGAGAAGGAAGACGAAGGAAGGTGAGGAAATGGATGTGGAAGGGGAAGAAGAAAGAAGTGCGAGAGGAGATAAGCAAACGAAGTGGATTTACAGACAATACGGTGGCCACCCGTTTGTTGCAAACCGTTTTCCAGCCGCGGCGAAGCACGTCTGTCACATCCCCGGAGGGGTGCGAAAGATTTGGAAGAGAGAAGGTGAATGTGTGTTCATGAGAGAGATGAGAGATGTGTGTGTGCGTAAGGGGGAAACGTGTGTGAGTGAAACAGGGAGAGTGGGTTTGTGAGGAAGTGTGAGAGTGAGTATGTGTGTGAGAGAGAGAGAGAGAGAGAGTGAGTGTGTGTGTGTGAGAGAGAGTGTGTGTGAGAGAGTGAGAGTGTGTGTGTGTGTGAGAGAGAGAGTGAGTGTGTGAGAGAGTGAGAGTGTGTGTGTGAGAGAGTGAGAGTGTGTGTGTGTGAGAGAGAGTGAGTGTGTGTGAGAGTGTGTGTGTGTGAGAGTGAGTGTGTGTCTGTGTGTGTGTGTGTGTGTGTGAGAGAGAGAGAGAGAGAAGAGAGAGAGAGAGAGGATATACATGCAAATACATACAGGCGTACGGTGGAAAAATAGAATTAAGAAACGGATGGCAAAGACCGCGGGGGAGGGGGCGACAGAGAAGCAAGGGGCGGTGGCGGACCATCCAGCGTAACGCAGGGTCAGTGCCCTTCGTGCAGCTAGGCGTGAGACTAGCCTCAGTGAAGCAAGCACTGCAACACAAACACTTCTGAGCTCTGGCCACGGAAGCCTCCGACTCCGCTGCTCGGTTCTGCATTTCCCTCACTTACTCGGGATCCAGTGGCGGCTCGAGGGGTTTAAAGCGAGACGGATGCCGAAACTGAACAAACAACTTTCGTCTTAATTTATTTCTTGTAGAGCATTTCTGTTGTCGTATTACGGTCGTGGATAACAATTAACGTAATGATTTTCATACTTTTATTTCCCTTTCACTTTACTGCTCTTGTGAAGTAGTGATTAACGTCATTACGGCGATATAGAATAATTACCGCATGCGCTTGGAGTTTGTAAACCGAGACGACAGCTTTAGTGTATAACCAAGACTGTTATTTGTGACGTCGGCCTTGTGTTGTTCACTTTTTTTCGTAATAACACCTTCGTACCAAACATAATTTAAATAAGAAATACATTTTCTTGGAATAGGAATATACGATTCAACTCGTTTGTTTTCATTGTACTTAATGAATGACGGTCGTCATTATCATCGGACCTCGGACGTGAAGACAGACTTGTCGGTGTTTGGTGATGTTCGGAACCAATAACAGTAAAGTATTTCGAAAACTTTGACATTTGACGGTTCTGACACCAACAATCCTCAGCCGCCATCACAAGAGACCACGCTACCCTGTTTTCCAGTGTGCCACCTAACGTGTGACATAACGCTACGGAATTTGGCAAACCCCCTCTGCTTCCTCCTGTAGGTCAGAACGAAGGGTTGGTTCCCAGCCAGACACAGCTCATCGCTACTAGGTTGCCTGTCTCACAAACGTTCCCCCGGTCTTCTAGACATGACACCAAAAAACTTTAGCTATTAACATTAGCTTCTTAAGCTGTTTTTTTTTTCTTTTCGAAGTCTATTATGACGGTACGAGGAAGATGTTTCCGAACGACGCGACGTGAGGAGCAGTTTCGAAACGTGCAATGGCACAGTTATTTCCGGAAATGTGACGTACACATTTTTACTTTCCTTTATGTCTCATTACCTTATTTTTAATGCAATAATTTGTAAGCTTTCTTCCCAATGGCTGGGTGTAAGTAGACAATTCCCAGTCACTAACAGTCTCTTGTTGCGATGTTGGCGGAGGTCGAATAAACGATCGGAAGAATATTACATGATAAGCTTCAAAACAGGAAAAAGCAGACAGTCACAAAACGTTTTCTTAGTTTTCTAACGCATTTTTTGAAATTAAAATGTTTAATTACCGTCAGGTTTTAACTTATTCGACAATTACTAACGTCAGCAGCAAAAATACACATTTTAAATGCTTTACAAAATATTTTTGTATATTATCACCCTTATGTGTATATTATTCTAAGACTCTTCCAGAAAACGCATCCGAAACAGTTAGGGAAGCAACCAAACCGTTCTGTTCCATTTTCCGAACCGCTTTCAAGCATTTACACAACAAAAATGCGACTCAGTACGAACTAAAGAAAATGTGTACGCTTTTATATAACACGCGTAAACGTAATTTTTTTTAACCTGAAAGGAGGGACACATGTCCGTGTAACCTAACGGAAGAGCCAAGCCTGATGGCATTCCTGTAGCAGTTGGTCTCGTACCGGCCCTCCTCTTTATCACGGAGAGCCATCTCCCTCGCGATGGATTCAATTACGGCCGAGAACAACGCGCACAATGCTCTCTTTGTGACACTCTTTGCGCACACCGCCACTCCCGTACGCAGAATCGTGCCCGGCAAATGACAATTGTGTCACGAGGCCACGCTGACGGGAAGAGTCAACAATAGCTTTGTCAGATAAACCGGTGCCAATCCGTGGCAGGAGAATAGCATGTCACCCATAGGCCGTGAAAAGGTTATATTGGAATGCCAAACGCTGTGAGAAGGAGAATTTGTTGAACGCTAGATAGCAAAGCTTTTACTGTTTACATGTACAAAGCTTGCGAACTACACCTCTCACTGTTACAAATTATATTTCTATTATGAAATATTATTTCTATTATAAAATTTTATGTTTTGCAGCTGATCCTATACGTTCTAAGGATCAACACATATAGAAATATTGTTGAGAGCGTAGGCTTCCGCGGCCGAGTCAGTATTTATTAGGCTGTCCGGGTGACGCCGCGTCCATGGCGAAGGTGCCGACGTTTCGGTCGCCATTCTGCGACCTTCCTCAGGGCGTAATGCGAAAAAATAAATATTGTTAAAAGTTTTAATCAAAAGTATGCATAATCTATAAAAAAATTACATTTTCCTTTTCAAAATGTTTACTAGTGCCTAGATAAAGATCTTTTTGTCGAAATACTTCCAAACAGAACAAATCTTGAAACGAGAAGCAAGCAAGTGGTAGATGAATGGTATTTCGAACCTTCCTTCGTAAGTATGACACCAAGACTCACAATTAGGTCGCAATAGGAGAAAAGATTTATAGAAACGCGGAATGGCGGATTTGTAAAAACACGAATTCACGCAAAGTTGGGATATAAAAAACTGGAGCAACAGTCTGATCCATGTAGCGATGTAAAAGAACCTGTTCTGGAGCCTGCTGAACGTACAGTCAGTCGCCTCACGCAGTGCATTCAATGTTCCAATCCCAGGGGCCTCAATGGGGTGTGTGGGTCGAGTCAAATGAAAATGAGTACGGAAGAAGTGAGGAGAGAGGAAGGAGAGGGCATGAGGAAGAGAGAAAGAAGGGAGAAATGAGACGGCAAAGAGAGTGAGGAATATGAAAGAAGAAAAGGAGGGAG